GGAAATAACACTTTTCGGTATATATTTTATCCATTTTCAGCAGAAAATTGCTCAAACTTAGTCAGAATCATCTTGGGTAAATGAGAGTTTTACTTTGTAAAATTAGGATTCCTGCCCCATCCCCAGGGGCTAGGGCGGGGCCCCAAAGGGAACATTTACCAATATTTTCAAATTCTTATCCATTGATGACATGACAAGTATTGTATTTCACTTAGTTTACATGCTGATTTCCACATCACATCTTTACAATAAAATAAAGCTACCAGTATCTATGATATAACTCAGGTGACCGCTAAGGCCCTTGGGCCTCCTGTTTATGTATCAAAACAACGCCAAAAAGCATTAATTTGATTCAGACATACCTGCTGTATGACTATTACACACACCCTGCAGTAACTAGGAGATCACTTGACCACAGGATGTAGATTTTGAGTTTGTGAGTTTGGACTTGAATGAGGGAGTTTCTAGGGAGAGTGGTAAATTGTGGTCAAAATGAGGGAGTCTCCCTCCCAATGATGGAGCTATGCTATGGTTTTGATGAATATGTTTATCAAAAAATAGTGCAGATGAAATAAACAGAAAAGAATCTACAATGGACAACAGTGTTCGGAGTGTAAATTAACTTTGAACCCCTGACCTTTTATCATTATACTGGGCTACTTTGCACTACAGTTACATAGACAGCAAATCAAGGGGAGATTACTGTATGTACGAAAAATTACAGTGGAATACTCTAGTTTCTGCAGGGGAACAGGGATCCTTAACTCATTCACCCCTAGGCCTGAAGACACATTTGAACTCATCCAATTCAAAGGTTGGGACAGTTCATTATGAAATTTCAGGGGTCAATGAGTTAACTAATTCAAGTTTAAAAGTATCATCAGACTGCCAAAGATTGTTTCAATGAAACAGTTTTTCTTCACATAAAACTGTGAATCCTGTTATACAGTATCTTCCTGGGTTTTCATGTAGTTTTCTAAATTTTCTGTTAAATGTTTGTTTTTTCTAGGCCACTTGGCAAAGGAAATCTTGTTTTTTCTAGGCCACTTGGCAAAGGAAATCTTGTTTTTTCTAGGCCACTTGGCAAAGGAAATCTTCCTAGATGTGTTCCATGATTGGTAGATGTGTTCTAAAATGTAACTGTTGCTATCTGCTGTTTAATTCCCAAGGTATGGGTTGAAAATTTCCCGGGCTCTGGGTAGGCTCTTGAAAGTATGTTTCTGACTCTCCAAAAATGAGCTTTGTCGCCTGGCTTTGTAACTCTTGGCTTTGAAATGCCTGGGCTGGTATGCATAAAACTACTTAAGTTAAGATTTGTTGTGAATGGATATATTTTTCTTCATATCCAATGAATAATTAGTACTCTGAATGGTTTTCTTAACCTGGGTTAAATTGTATGTACATACCATGTCTATTTAACACATGTTTTTTTACCCTAAAAATTTCAGGAAAATGTAACCCGACTTTTGAAATTGCTACATGTCAAGAGTGAACTGAAAGCCCTGCCATCAATGCTTTTTATTGTACAAAATGGACTGAATTCAAGAATGAGCAAATAATGTAAAATATATGTTTGTACTGGGTATGATTTGTTTTTGCTTGGTAGCACCAAAAGAATCTTCGGAATGGCAATTATTTCTG